CTTCAAACCCATGACACGATTAACCTCTTTCTCATCCCCACCCACATTGTGTCTCACTCTTTGGGGCCCTCTGTCCGGTTTAAGTAATAACCGTTAATGTAAGAATGCACCGCTTTTATTTTTTTCCTTTGAATCGCGAAAAACACACTCCTCTCATCTCTCAAGTTGACATTTCCATATAATCCGAGGGTAATGGGATGATGTTCCTGTGTGTGTGTGTGTGTGTGTATGTTGACTGGTATTCTCCGTGGTCAAGCATGTCACCAGATACGAAAAATACACACAAACACACACACACTGATGATCTATATCTGGCCCATCTATAAGTTTAGCCTTTAATTTCATATTGTACATCTCACAGGTGAACCGCCTGGGTAACTTTTTGGCCAATTCCACGTATGATTCTTCTTATTTCAGTCGTCTTTGCTTGATTTCCCTTTGTTCCTCACGAGCCGCTTCTTTGAAAGGGGATGTCCACAGCTTCCCTGATCTTCCCCTTTCTGGTATTTTCCGCAACTGAGGCCGTCTTTCCGTCGCATTTCAGTCAATTCTGTGGCCGTTAGTGGCGATGTGTTTAGCTATCTCCGATCTTTCCGTTGCCATTGTTTTGCATAGGCACTGGTGTTCTTTGATCCTGTTGCTGATTGTCTGTCCCGCCTCTTTGATGTACTTTTGTCTACAGTTCTTGCAGTTTATGCTGTAAACTCCGGAGCACTACATTTTTTTACTTCTTCATGTTGATTAGGCGAGCTAGTGAAGAGGTTTGTCCTTTTATTATGGATTGTACGTATGTTCAATTTCCCTAGTATTGGCCGTAGCTTCCGAGCCACACAATTGACTGAAATGCGACGCAAAGACGGCCTCATATGCGAAAAACACCAGAAAAGGGAGGATCAGGGAGGCTGTGGACATCGTCCTTCAAAGAAACCTGATGAACGAGAGATTGCAGCGACAATTTCGCGTACTGCCTGAGTAGCCTTGGCGATTCAACGAATGCCTCAAAAGAAGACGTTTGGGCCCATGACAATTGTTCAACAACAGGAAGAGACATCACAAAGGAGCGGCTTGTGAGGAACAAAAGGAAATCAAGCAAAGACGACTGAAATAAGAGGAATCATACGTGGAATTGGCCAAAAATGTATCCAGGCGGTTTACCTGTGAGATGTAAGATATGAAATTAAAGGCTAAATTTATAAGTGGGCAAGATATAGATCATTAATGTGTGTGTGTATGTGTGTGTATTTTTCGTATCTGAAGGGGATATGACTGGTGACATGCTTGACCAAGGAGCATACCAGCCAACACACACACACACACACACACACACACACAGGAACATCATCCCAGTACCCTAGGATTGGATGGAAATGTCAACTTGAGAGATGAGAGGAGTGTGTTTTTCGCGATTCAAAGGAAAAAATAGAAGCGTTGCATTCTTACATTAGCGGTTATGACTTATGCCGGACACAGGGCCCCAAGGAGTGAGACACAATGTGGGTGGGGATGAGAAAGAGGTTAATCGTGTCATGGGTTTGAAGGCTATGGAGAGAGAGATTCTCAGGCACTGGCATAGGCATGGAGATGAGCATCATCTGATCAAATCCTCGAATATGGCGTAATC